AAAGTACCTGTCAAATCACAGGTCATCCACGTGCAACTCTGAAGGAGGAGGTGGTGTAGCAGTAACTCTTTAGATGAACAACTATTTCTATTAACAAATATTCAAAATTAGCTCATTCAAATAATATCAGATAATCAGCATCAGATAATACAAATTCCTGCAATTTTGTAAATGCTTCTAATAATGAAATTGAAGCTAGTAACACACTTTTAAATTCCGTAAATTACATAAATATTAATAAAGGTTTAAGTTCTCAACTTGATATTCACGAATGACATTATTATTCTGAAATCAAATTGTAATATATTTGTATGATCGTTACCATCCAGCATTGGAAATTCAGATCTCATTCAATTACAAAAATTGGTTCTTATTTCTCCTTGAAATCCAGAAAGAGGTGTACACTCACAAGCTAAAAAGGCAGGGAGTAGTGGCTTCATATGAAAATATATTTGTCAGATATGTTCTTTTAAACAATAGATGTGAATTATGATTATATTATTTACTATTTTTTATTATTAATATTATTATTTCTTATTTTTCTCCTTTCATATTCTGGCTCGCATGAACATTTTTGTCTAGGGGCAAGAATGTGTTTGAAAATGGCGAATTCTTGTTTTCCATTTTGTGTTATTCTTTATTAAATCATTTATTTATTTATTTGCTGAAGCAATAATATGAAATAAATTAACAAGTCTCCATAAGTTACCAATTCTTGCTTATGGTAGCTTGTTTAATAGATAATCTGCTTTCATTTAAATCTAACTTGAACGTAGGAAGTAATACAATTATTGCACTCTTTAAGTGAACATGATTATAAAATCAAGATTCTTTCTATTCAAAATGTTTCATTTTACTCTCAATTGACAATTTTAAATCCGATTGATGTATTAGTATTACATTTTATTGGATAATTTATTTGATTTGGTAGAGCATACAAGAATTCATATAGCTAAATTAAGGGTATAAATGGTAACTGACTTCTCTAAAAACTGACAGAAGCCTTCTATCCAGTAATGTTTTAGTAAATTATATCTTCACATAATAGCGATTGATGATTGTTAAACCTTGCAACAAAACATTGATCTCCTGTCAATAAGGTGTCGTTCAAATAAATTACACTTAAACATAGAAAAATATAAAACCATGAGATATCATCGCACAAGGAGTCCAATTTTCTATGATTATTTGTTAGATTTGTTAGAATCTGTATCTAAATGCAATGATCTAAGACATTTGATTGCAAATTAAAATTTGATAATGTTAAATATATTTCTGTAAAAGCTAATAGAATGTTAGGATTTATAAGAAGAATGACCACAGACTTCTCAAATACACAAAACTTGAAAACATCATGTACAACATTAGTTCAACCATCTCTTCTATATGCAAGCTCCATCTAGTCCCCTTTCTATCAAAACCACATAAACAAACAAGAAACAATACAACATAACTTTTTTTCAATTATGGCATGAAAAATTGGATTACCATCACCGAGATTATTACATGCCTGTAAACAAATAGCAACATCCTTAAACATCAATTCACTCTCGTCACAATGAAACTTGAATGATTCTTAAGACTTCTTTGACCTTTTAAACAATGTTATTTATTGTAAAGCATTACTAGCAAGGATTAACATTCAAGTTCTATCTAGAGACTTGAGAAGAACTAATCAAATGTTATTTGGAACTTCCACAACGAGAACAAATCTTATTTTTTATTTCCCTTTAAATCGTATTGCTTGAATATCTAATGAACTCTTAATAAAGAATTATCACTTTCTAATCAATTTATTCTCCACTGAAAAGAAAAATTGTTGAAAGTTTTCAATTAATACATTTGAACAAGAGTAAAACTGCATTGACAATTTGCTTTACTGCACTGATTGTAGTGTATTGATAAGTTTTTCAAAAACTTTGGAAAAAACTAAAATAAGCTAATCAGTCTCACTATTTGGTGAGGCTGACTGATCCTTTCTGAATAAAGATATTACAATATTATGCATTGCAATGTTATGCAACATTATTGAATTAAATTATTACAAACGTCCGTGCCTCCCTTGGGAGGCATGCCTCAAAGTTTGAAAAACACTGCTCTGAACCATAATGTTATTAAACAAAAGTGTAAGCATTTACTTAATATACCATAAAATTACTACAGTTTAATTGACTCTCATTTAGAATCATGCATTACTTATGATGAATACTCTGGGCATCAGACCTATTCTTTCTCTCCAGGTTCTGGAGTTCCCCAAGGATCTAATTTGGACTCCCTACTCTTTGCTATTTCTGTGAATGCTGTCAGATGAACTTACTTGTCATTGGTAAAACTATGCAGATGACACTAAGCTTTTTTTGCCTATCCAAACAATACAAGACTGTGATAATTTGCCATGTAACCTTGATATATTTGTATTGTGGTGCATGCGTAATAAATTCATACTTAACACTGATGAATGTAAAGTGATGTCTTTTATAGGTAGTTATTTGTTAATTACTATTACTCTATTTTTGGTACAGTTCTTGTGAGAGGTAGCTGTATAAAAGATCTTGGTGTTATCTTTGACTACCGACTAACTTTGAAAGCCAATGTTAATTGTGTTATTAATACTGCAGACAAATCATTTGGATACCCAATGAGATCTTGTAGGAAATTTGAGAATATTCAAACCTAATTTTTATTTTGCATTTGTACATTCCAGGCTTGAATGTGCTTCTGTGGTCACCCGGTAGAATTGGACTTGTAAAGGATCTTGACAGATATCAGCAATGATTTACAAAATACTTAAGAGTTCTAAGACTGGTGGTGACTATCCTCCATGTGGAATAGATAATCAATTTCTTTACACCAAAGTATATCTAGACAGAAATATTTTTGATCAAAATTATTAGAGGCATAATTTAAGCCCCGTATTTCTCATCTCAAATTGGGTTTCCTATTCCAGGTTTGAATGCTTGCTCTTCTACATTTTTTTTATAATCCTCTTACTTGTAACAGACTTTGTCATAGGTGAAGCCGTTTAATATTTTGGAACTTGCAAATGATTATATCACCGCCTCTAACCCTACTGATTTGTTTGTTGACTTTGTTTCTTCTCTTTGTATGAATATTATGAACTATGAAACTAAAGCCTTAGGATAAATATATATGCTTGAACAGATAGTCTTTTAATTGAGGGTAACCGCTGGACTTTTGTAAAACCAAAAATAAAAAATAACATGCAGATCTTGCATTATAAGACTTTTATATTAAATTATTATTGTAATATTACTCATTAACCAATACATTTATCAAACATACTATCAATTTTGATGATAACATTGTAACCACTAATGTCATTAGTTTCTATGTAGATAACAATGTAGTGCTGAAATTGGTCAATACATTCCATTTCAATACCATGCACATAATGACAACACAATTGGTGGTGTTTATTTGTCTGGTTTTGCTTCTTTTTTCCAAGAATTTGCCATTTTTTCATTATCAAGGACCCACAAAATGTGGAAGCTGACACTCAACATGTTAGAGAAAATAATTTACTACCAACAGAAACAAGATTTATCCACTTTTTCCATATCAGTTCCCAGCAATACATGATTTTGTGTCGCAAAAATGCTGACTTTGCCACAGCATTACAAAACGTCATCTCAACATATACAGTACATATAGGTATACAGTACAAGTACATATAAGGCGAGAAAGTAAAAAGGGCTGTGTGACACAATATAAGCAAGAAAAATCTTCAGAAAACATCACTGCAGAAATTTAATAAATGTCAATGAAATACAACCAGTAATAGCTCCTAATTGTTGCTGTGGGGTGGTGTTGCATGACCCAGGGGGCACCCCACACATCAGATCTTCGGCCTTGAGTTCAGAAAAGTCATCAGTTGAGTTTTGGTGGGCCAGTCATAAATGAATCGAACACAAATGAAGATAAGAGATGTTTCAAAGCTTCATGCAGTAAGCACATTGCAAAAGTCTCCATTATTGCACACTGTACATCATCTAGCCATCCGCAGAAGAAACAAAATTTGTTTTGTGTAATGGAATAAATGTCAGAAATCAACTTAAATGTTCAATAAAAGTACTGAATTCACCTGTAGATAAAATTTAAAACTGCTCCAAAACAACATGCCACCATAAATAAAATTACTTAAGCAATATTTACAAACAGAAGAAAATGAAGGAATGGTTCGTATGCCTGGTTCTTTTCTGAAGAACTTGATATCACTGATATCAACACACATCACAAGTAGCAATAATTAAAGTTAGATTTCACAGTTCTCCAAAGTTCATTCCTGCTAGACTAAATATATAAGGTAATTAGTAATGATGACTTAATTGTTGAGAAGGCTATAATTTTTCAAGGGGCAAGAAGAAAGAAAGATAAACACATAAAGAAAGAACAATGAAAAGACAAAAAAATTTACACACATTAGGAATTCCCTCAAGTTTCACATCAAAACCAGCAAGATAGGGAAAACTCTTTTAATCCCACAGTGCTCATTCATTCAATAACATTTTCCAATGCTATCTAAAATTACATGAATTCTCAGTCACTTGTGATATCCACAGTTCTCATGAAATGTTCTCTGTAATTAATTAGAATTGGATATACTGGAACATAATTTATATCACTCTGAAATAGCAACTGTAAACCATTTCACTAACACCTCTCTTACATCATCTAGGGTGTTGCCATTACCACTCACACAAACATTACAAAGAATTGTAGCAATATAATTATATAGTACTGTTTAAAGGGACAATGTGTTTAACCTGATTTCAGGTTGCTCTAAAGGTTGCTCCTCTATTTCCTTGTCATCACCACCAATAGCAGAAGACATCACGAAGCATGAAGCAGTACATATAAAAATTACTCATAATAAACTTTCAGAAGAATATGCCATTCATTTAAAACCTAATGAGTAAAACAAATAACACATATACAAAAAACATTCACAGCAATATTCTTATGCTGTATCTGTTGCTCACCTTAAAGGTATCTTCAAATGAAGCAGAATCTCTCTTCAAAATAGACCGCCGCGGTTCTTCTGCTCCAAAAGTACTGCCACTGTTTACTGTCGATGTGGCACCACTTGCTGGCACTTGAGCATCTGTTTCAGGCTGAGGGCAGCACCGTGTGCCTGACCCGCAGGCTCCAGGGGTGCTACCTCCTGCCACATTGCCTTGGGGGCCAGCACTGGCCCCACTGGCAGGCAACAGATCCCGAAATCGGGTGTCAGGAAGGCGAGTGGCACGGGTGCGGTTCACAATTACTGCTGAACCAGTAGGGTCAACATTGTGTTCCATTCCAAAATACGCAGCAGCTCGATGAACAAGCATTCTTTGGTAGGAGCTCATCGGTGGAAACTTGTGATGTGAACGCCTGAAAAGAAAAAAAAAAAAGTCCTCATTAATCTAAAGAAAACACACATTTAATTAGAATAAATCAATGTAAAAACACAAACTATATTCCCACAAACACGCCTACAATAATAATTTTATAAACAACCTTTGTCTATTAGCATTTGCACTGCATTTACTTCCTAATATTTTCATTATTCCTATAAACATTTCATAAGTACACCCTCTTCACTTAAATACTTTTAATTTTTTAACTATCCTCCCACATGCCAGGAAGATGAATACAACTACCTATGAAGCCTTACCAGTCGTCTTGTATGAATGACTAGCATAGAAATATTTAGAACCGTGTTTAAAAAAAAGAACAGTGATTAAAAAAACAAAAAATTGTAAAAATTGAGAGAGAGAAAAAAACACTTTTGTATTTGTCTCATTAAATAACCAAACTCTGCCTTTCAATAGATTTCACTCATCACAAAGGAAGACTACACTTTCAACAATACATTAGTATTAAATTGCATCTTCCAAACTTGCCCAGCAGCATCAATTTGAATAATGTAAAACTTTTCTAACAACCATTTGATATTTCTGGTAAATCAAGAAAATTGTACTAAAAGGGAGGGAAAATTGTACTTTTCTATCAAGCACCCAATTATAACATACAATGCTAATGAAAAAAACTTATTAGTAAAAAAAATGTAAGAGCGATTAAAAATCTGTCCACATTAAATGGAAACTCATTAGTATCCTAATTGGCAAATACCATGACCATGAGGACTTTTTCATGAAATAAAGTTTATTACTGCAATTTTATGGATTTCTTAAAAATGGTTTGTTTCACTTTACCGGGAGGGGGCGGGGAAGAACATATTGGAGAATAGTGAATTAAAGGCAGTAAAAAAACTGTGTGAAACGATAATGGACCGTTGATTACCAGCATAAAAAGTTTTCTTGATAAACCAATGTCTTTGTAATGAAGGTTTACACTCTAAATAGAGAAAGCTTAATAAATTTCATTATTTCAGTGTTGCAAATACCATAACAAACCATCTACAGATTATCACATTTACACTTCAAAAGACAATTCAACTTTTTCAAAAAAGCAAAACAATTACAGAACACAACACAAATTTACATTGCTCAAAGCATGTTACTACTCATTCAGAAACAAAAAAAGAAATGCCACTCTCACCAACACTCACCAAGTAAGACTAAAGATCAGGCAAGACAAACTGGTAAGAAGAGATGTCAAGCAAAGGAGAAAAACATTCAGGCCAGGCAAAACAATATAAATATTGAGCAGGTATCAGGCGAGACAAACAAGAACTTAAATACAGAGCAGTCAAGAAGACAATACAAACAAAAACTACACACAAAATGGAAGCAAAATTAAAAACATAAAAAGGAATCTACAAAGGATAGTCAACCAAGAACACAAATGCATAGCCCAATATAAGCTATATTCCGATGAAAAAAATAGTAGGATTGATAGTTGTATGTTGTGTAATGACTTTAGAAAGCACACCACGGAAACAACTAATTACAACACTCAAGAGGAATGATAGTCAAACTGAGCACCATGACAGGTGTTTTCCATGGTAACATTTGGGGGTGTCATTACAAAACATACAAATCCCCAATCCCTTTCTAATTTTAATCATCAATAAAAACATCACTTATGCAAAGGACCAGAACCCTCTGTGTACAACACAATTTGGCAAGTACATAAAAAACACGCACTTGTTGTCACGGGCAAGGCTAACCAGCTCCTGCTCCACTCGTAACAGCTGCAGACGGTCCTTGGGACTGCGATTGAGTGTATCCGCAAGAAAAGCTTGTAGATCTACTCCAGAGCTGTCGGTGTATGGTGCTTGTTCTGTACTACTGTCTAAACATACATAAAAAAAAAAAAATTGTCAGAGTACAGTGAGGTACAGGAATGTGCTAGGTAATTGTGATGCACAATAGTAAATTCTTACAGACAAAAAATTCTTCCAGATACAACCAACCTTTATACATGCATTCTGAATTTACAGAAACATGCACAATAAACTGTTCAAACTCAAAAGAGATAGAACACTGCAAAGGATTATAGTAGTCAAACAGGTAAATTTCATTTTCAGTATTAACAGGGTCAATCTTATTTTCCAATGAAAGTCCTGAATTGAAGTGCTGATAGAACATGAAATACACTACATCAAACAACAAAACTGACAAAGAAAGCAAGATTTGACAAGTGAAGATAGTTCATTTATAAAACATAGTAACCACAGGTTTCGAAACATTAATAACAGAAGAATTTTAAAAATATTCAAGTTTGTAACATCATTAAAGACTTCTGACTAAAAATATATGTCTTTTTCATATTAAAGCAAAGTGAATTGTACACCAATTTATACGAGCTAATGCACTAGAATCCCTGTTATAAATTATATCCTCCTGACAACTGTCAGCAGTTTCTAATAATGGACCATTCTTTAGCAAAAATGCACCAAAACAAAAACCATAATTTAAAAATTATATAAATTGCTTCCTCAAATTCAACAACAAAAGTTTGTTACCAAACTTAAAGTGTATTTCATTATCATAATCAATAAACTTTCATTTCTCAACCCTGTGTTATAAACTATCTGCAATATCGTATGTATTACGGCTAATGCACAATTCTGGCTAATTCACAAATTGACTAAAAATGTTAAAATTATCCAAAATGGTGGATAAAGTTCGAAGTAAGATCAGCTTTGAAGAATACTTTAAATTTCTTTTGGATGAAGTGAACATTAGCCAACATGAGGTGACTAAGGTGGGTGAAGTAGTGACAAGGAATCACAGATTTATGACAAACAAGAAACAGACTGCTGGTGGAAAGTTTCCAAGACTAGCAAGAGAGGAGTTCTGTTGTGTTAGTTTCAGATTTGTATTTACACAATACTACCTAAACCAACCTCACTACAGTTCAAGCAGCGTATAAGCGACTGAGGGTTCTCTTGGCACGTACTGTGGTATGTTATGTTACCTGCTTTGAAGCCATCACTTTGTGAGTAGTGTTTTTTTTCTCTCTTTTTTCTTTCTTTCTTTTTTCTTTTTTTTTTTTTTCTTTTTTCTTTTTTCTTCCTCACAGTCAGGGTTCAGCATTGCCGCTCAACTTACTCGCACTAAGTTGCGGAGGTCTTAGGGTTTGGCTTGGGTGAAAGTTATAAACATATCAAGACGTGTCATAGTCTGTCAGTAAGTGTTAAAGTTATGAGATTTTGTTTATTTGTCATGTAGATGGTGTCATGTGCTTAGTCATGCGAGGCAACAGCCCACTAAACTGTCAGTCTCCTATGCATTGCCGATACTGTAAATACCTCAGTTGACATTTCCTTACACATTTCCAAGTTGGACAACAAGGCTCCAGCCTTTGAAATTTACATAATAACAGCCTCAAACCTCTGAAATGCAAAACATCTAACACATTTTCATGCTAACATATTTCTCATGAAAAGAGATGACATGTGTTTGGACAATTAACTTTCTATAGCTAGAGCTCTGAAGCCATCCAAATCATTTGCCTGATGTGTAAATTCACTAGTAAATTCACGAATTAGCCACATTTCTGACTTTAGCCGTAACATATGTACTCATCAGATGTTTAATGATAAATTATAAAGAAAGTATTTTAAAACATACATATATATGAAAGAAAAATAAGTTGATTAACCTACTTAATGAATTAGATAAGAAAAATGCAGTAAGAAAGTGAAGTGAAACACTATTTACAAAATTTGAAAGTTCTCACTAGGGTTTTGTGTTTCTATTATTCTCATTGTGATAGCTATTTTATTAAATAATTATTACAACTACAATCTATTACACACCTAGGAGACTCAAAAAATTAGTAATTTACTTTATTAGTGCAATTAAAAACAATAAATTAAGTATTATAGTGAGTAGCAAGCAGTGCCAGTGCTAGGCATGAGCAGTCTGGGCAATTGCCAATGCTCAAAAAGCTATGTGGACCAAAACTTTAATACACTGCAATAAAATTTAGATAACAAAATTGTAAAAGTATCAATATTTACTCCAATATTCACTTATTATAGAAAAATTGAATTATCTGAGACTCAGAATTCCCTAGCCCTGGCACTGGTGGAATTCTTTCAATAATGAATGTTTCTTCATTACTGCCATTGAAGTTTGATAATTTTAAACATAAAAAAAATCAAAATCACACAATTTTTGTACACAAACCTCCACACTGAGTAAATATTTTGAAGATCATTGTGCAGTTTGCATTTAAACAAGAATATAACTGGTTTTAATCACTGTCATGAAACCATGAAGTTTGAATCAACAGATAACATGAGATTAAAACCAACTCAATGAGTGGATTCAAACAGAGATCATTCTACTAGCCGCTTTCCAAGTAATGAAAGAAAATGGGAATAAATAAATAAAATTAACAACAACAACAACAATAATAATAATAATAATAATAATAATAATAATAATAATAATGAGATTATGTAGTTTTCATTGAATACAAACGAGTACAAATAAGTTTTAGATTCTAGAAATATTATGAAAAATATAATATAAAACAAGAAACAATATACACATGAATTTTTATAAATCTAAACATTTTCAGATTAAAATGACAAAATAATTCAAAAAGTTTGTGTTTTTAGTTGTTAGTTAATACAACTGAACATAAGCAACCACTTGAATTTGGAAGCATTTCGTTTTTCAAACAGGAAAACCTTTTTCATTCTTTTGGAATTTGGACACAATCTTCCTGGTTTATTTCAACTAAATTCTAAACAAATGAAAAGCAGAATATCCATTTTCATACATTACAGCAGAAACTGATATATTAACCTTTCAATGTCCTTAGATCCCGATTAGGAGCATACTTTAAATAAATTATTAAAAATTTAGTTTTCCGATATTCAAATAATCTGCATCTACTTTCTCTTAAACAACGCTAGAAATTAATTTTTTAATGAATATTTATGTGCATTTTAAATTTTTTCTACAGAATTGATTTTTAAATTGTTTCAAGTTTCATGGAGGCCTTACTGCAATTGTTTTGTTTTTTGTACCATACATTTATCACCTATTTCACCTCTTGATTTTTTAGTTATTCAGTAGATAGTCATAAATAATACTATTGTGCCAAGAGAAAAAAATATTTGTAATATTGCAAAGTTTGACAGTTTCTACATTTGATCCCAATAGGGAACTGGCCACTTCTTTCTATTGGAACTCTTTAGTTTTCACAGTAGCTGTTCCTCCTTGAATCAACGGTGTCTTCTATGAATTATATCTCCTTTATCACGCTTTCTGTAACCTAACTCCCATAGCATCTTGTTCTTTAGCCTAATTGCTTCTGTTACAATTTATTTTTCAGTTCATTAGTTTTTCTTGCAATGAAGAGTTTTCATTTCTACTTGTTTGGTACATGTATACTTTGTATTTGTTAACTGCCTTGAATATATAATGGAAAAAGATTTAGAGCTGCAAAGGAGGCTGTCAATCATCATTTGATTTTGAAATATTAAGATGTCAGATCTTTCTGATGACCTTAAATATGCCTCCTTCCCCTGAAGAAAATGTCCATGTTACTGATCAAGAACATATCGACTAATCCACTCATGAAATTAAAACCAATATTGTTTAACTATACATACAAAATGCCTCAACCAGGGCGGTGTATCTCAAAAAGTTTATCGCTTTTCTGTCCGATTTCTCTAACTGCTGCTTCCTAGTGGCCAATCATCAACTACGACCCATCTATCATAGGTGGCAGTATGCTACATCAAATGCTGTGTCGCATGTGATTTTAACATAGCATTCAGTTATTTTCAATATTTGGCGCATTCTGGAACTCTGTTGTACATTATTTTACTCATAGAATAGTCCTATTAAATACCACTCGTGATTTGGAAATTCTCATATCAATCCCCTTCTCGTTTTGCGAGTCAGGAATTTATGGACAATTTGCAAAGCCCTTGTGGTATTACCTATCATAATACTCTGTTTCTCACAGTGCCTTGTTACATTTATGGACATGTGGATTACTGTTCCTTCAAAGAATTACCTGTATAATGAAACCATTGAATGTCACACCGCTGAGTCTAAATGACCGAAAATATCTTCACATTCACTTAAAATATTAATAAATAAATAAATCAAAATAAAAAAAAAAAAACGCTTCATTTGGCTAGTGTGTAAGCAGATCAATCTTACTGGAAGAAAACCACAGCTTTCAAAAAGGCTCTGTAAAGTGTAAAGTATTGAAGGAATTTGTAAAACATTTTCTCAAATAATGGAGGGAGTACCTTATTTTTCTTCAAGTTTATATTCCAGAATATTAGCTACTTGACTTATTTTTTTAATTTTTTACCTTCATTGATAGAGATTGAGATTTGAATTATGTTATGGGATTATTGCATTTGCCGTCAGCATTCAAAATTCAGCAAATTTCTAAATATTATTTTTTTAATATATTTTGTTTTGTTATTAACATTCTAGCACCCATGAAGCATAGGTAGATATTTTAATCATACCACTTGGGAAAATTGTAAAAACCAAACTTTTTCTTAAAACAAATTTTGTTGATTTTTCATCACTGCAAAATTAGAAGGTAAAATGTAATAAACTCCAAAAATGGATTTGCTAATGAATTCATCTCAGGCACAGTGCATTGCACTTGAAGGAGAGACAGTGAGGTCGCAAAATATTACTTTTGGGCTTGTGTAGAACTGTTTTTCCATTCACCCGTATTATAGATTTATATTGATAAAACATTTCAAAATTATGACTTAAAAATATTGAGACCTCTGAAAGATCCCGAAATTCCTCTGAGAGGTTGGAACTTTCAAGTGGAAAATGCTTAATTTTAAG